AATCTCCCCAATGCCAGTCCAGCATTTGCACTGCTACACTATAGGTACTCTTTGACCTATGACCATAATTGAGCCAAAAATTCATATCGCTAAGTGAGACAGTTGTTATGAGTGTTTTGCCCAATTTTACAGTCTTTCTTGCCGCAGTTGTTAAAACGTGAATCATGCAGTTGTTAAGTGTTAAGTAACATGATTGTAAAGTGAATCTGGATTCCACGTTGACTTTGATTATCACAAAAGTTGATCACATGACACAACTATCATAAACACAAATTCTTTGCATCTGAATTTTGATCACACGACAAGAGGCGGCTGTGGAGGGTATGTAAAAAATAGTTATTGTCACTTTTTTTGCTGTTGTAACTTTCAACGATCACTAAATGAACTGTTGTAAGTCGAGGACTACCTGTACCCTGTCTCTATGAATCTAGAAGAGGTGCTTTAGTAAATGTTCTGATCTAGGTTTTCTGATACAGTAAAATGCACACGATTAAATCCAAAAACCCTCTTTTTATTTCAAAGGCTGTGAATTATATTCATTCACAGCCCATAATGAGTTCAAAATAATAGTAAAGAGTTCCACAGCAAGCTGCTAAAGTCCTTTGGGATAAGGCTGATAAGCAGCCACCATCTTCTTTGAAAATGCTGTTTAATTGGCAATTAGCTTGGCAAGGCCACACAGAGCCAAAATGGAGCTTCAGAAGGTCAACCGACCAGCATGAACCAACGTGCTTTGTGCAAAGGTTCATGTGCCTTTGCTCCTCCTTTATGTCCTATGGGAGGAGCCAATCACCTCCAAGCCTTACTCCCGAGTCATCCCTTTTGTTTTAACTGTTCTTGTCTTCTGCCAGCTCTGTGCATGCGCACACTGGGAACAGGGGGAGCCTGTTCCTCTGCCTTGCTGCTATCCGACTCTGGAGGCTCCAGAGGCAGCACATAACTCCCAGATGCCCTGGCCCCCTCTCTGCCTCCGACGCAGAACCTTCGTCCGAGCTTTCCCCAGACTCCAGGACTGGCCCATGTTCCTCCCCAACCTCCTCACTGCAGGCTGCCAGAGCACCACAACACTATATGTGGGGCCATGAATGTAGTACATGTCCGTGACTTATTAAAGCAGCTGTGTTTTGGGAAGATTCCTGTTTCTTTTTCTATATTAAGAATTTTAAATACAATAATAAAAACGAAATTCAGAGAAAGAGAATAGAAATAATAAAACATGCAAAGAGAAAGGAAATTATTTCCAAACTTTATTACAAAATAAACACATTTAATAATTGTTTATCTCCTATAATGTTTTCATCCCTCATCCCAGCCTCATGTATAAATAAATCCATAAAACATAAACCTTTCAGTCTTGGTGTCCATAAAAAATAAATGGTTTGCCAGAACATTGAAAACCCACGAAAAAAGAGCTTACTTTAACCTTGATCAAATAAACCAACTTACTTTCTTTTATTCCTAACAGTCTTAATCTTTAATTCAATCAAATATAGTTTTAGGATTTAATTTCTCTTCAATTCTTCTTTATCCCATTGTACAAGTTTATTCAAGGCTTTATAAAGCAAGTCTCTTTTGTAAATCCAATAAGAAAACATTTTCCAGGTCATTCTCTTGGTTTATCATTTTGTCTTTTTAATTTTTAAAACTCCAGCCAGTCTTCTCTCCCCTTTGATCTTCTCCCCTCGCCATCTCCCCTCCCCTCCCATCAGATTTCACCAAATCTCATCAAAAGCAACTCTGGGCAGCACCCAACAGTCAAACACTTTTTATACCCAATATGTGTTCTTTTCCAAATCACCCTGTTAATCTGTTATTTGTAGTTCCACTTTAAGTACCGTCTCCGTCTTGTCTGATAAAATTTGTTCCATACAGTATCTGTCAGAACTTCATTAATAACTTTTGGATCCTAATATACATTCTTCAAATAATTCATTTAATATTTCCAATGTTATAACGTTTGATTGTTTTGAAAGTCCCAGTATTGACATCAAAAACAAATTTGTATTTTTGTATTTTTTTTCTTCTGCTTAGAATCTTAAGTCTCTTTCTTTGTCCACTTTCTAAAATCATCACTTATCTTTGTTCCTTGCAATAACTAGGATAGCCAAAACAAGAAACTGTTTGTTTAAAAAAAATCAAAATCTTATAGTGAAAATCAATATTCCATATTCACCTGAATCTTTGATCCATTTATAACCACCATAGGTCCAAAATTTATTTAGCATTTTGCTATTTATTTCAAGTTCTGTTAAGTTCTTAAGCCTATAATTTATTTTTCTTTTGTTCATGCTGAAGATAAACTCACCTGACAAAAACTTGGCAAACTTGTCTTGAAGTTCTCTAATAGTTTACAATGGTTTGGCAATTTTGGCAATTTCCAAAAAATACTAGAAAATGATTAGAACGATTGTTGGTACTTACCTGAACGTCGATTCTAATGATGAGAGAGGAAGATGCTACCAGTGGGCTATCATCAATCCTGATTGGTCCATAGACTGAGAGAAATTGTTGCAGCCATGCCTCTACTCCGTCTTCCCAGTTTCCTCAAGGTCATAGGGGGTAAACCTGTGAATCAAATATCACAATAAGGGAAAAAACAACTCTTCCCCCCAAGCTGTTACCCTCTCATCATTAGAATCGATGTTCAGGTAAGTACCAACGATTGTTCTCAATGATGAGGAAAGGGAGGTGCTACCAGTGGGACGTATCCAAGCTAGCGTCCATAGGGGGGAAGAATTATAAACCGGTAGCGGCTGATGGAGCCATTACTTGCTGCAACACTCTAGGGCCCAAAGATGCTTTTTGCATCTGTAGTGTCGAATAAATGAAGTAGGGGATGTCCAAGAAACTGCCCTACAGATGTCTTTGAATGGCGCTCTAGTCACCCATGCTGCTGTGGTGGCCGCACTGAGAGTAGAATGCACAGTAATTTCCCAAGGAGGACTTTTACCTTTAGCCTCATAGGCCAAGGAAATTGCTTTCCTTAACCACCTACCTATCATGTTAGATGTCACCCTTGCACTTTGCGTGGATGGTTGAAAAGACACCAGAAGAGCTTCTGACCTACAAAATGAAGCCGTTTGCTTGACATAAATTCTCAGTGCTCTACGGACATCAAGCCTATGCCAGAGTCGCTCCCTGGAATGAGACGAATTGGGCAAAAATTGTGCAGCACTATCTCTTGTGCCCTATAAAATGGGGTGTTAATTTTAGGTAGAAAGGCAGGATCTAACTGTAAGATTCTGGGAGGGTTGTCCAGGGGGCTTATTTGCGGGGGAGGACTTATATTTTTGCCCACCAGAAAAACCATACCTTCCCTAGAAACAGAATTAGTTGTTTCTAATGTGCCATACAGTTTGATTTAAGGAAGTGGAAGAAAAAGGAAGTGGTATAGTTTTGTAGTTCAGGAGCAGGTAGAAACTAGAGGAGAAAATTATCAGTAGAGTTCTGAATGATAATACAAGGATTTTCAGTTCCCAATAATAACAACAGTAAGTACAAAATGACTCCTTATTTAAAAGTATAACTTACTGTAAATGAAAAAAGCTTGAGGCGAGCAGACATGGAAAAATGCACGTTCAAGGATTCAAAACAAATTCCTGAGTTCATAATTCTTCAAGAGTTTGGAATGTGCACATGTTTTTCCTTGGGGCACTTAGACAGCTCCCTCCCCTAAAATAAAATTGAGTCTGCCTGTTCTTGTACTGTAGCTTTAGAATATGTGACTTGTAATTCCATCCTCATCATTCTTACAATTGAATGTACTAAAAGTTGCTAGTTAGATCCATGTGAATTCCTCCTGTGTAGGGAATACTGTTGGCCAGTGGAACTGCAAGAGAGCAATATCTGCTACTTTCATCCATGATTTCCATTATCCTAGATCAGGAAGAAACGATCTGTTCTTGTTTAGCTGCAGTTGAATTAAAGTTAACATTATCTCTTAGCACTGCCCGTGCTAGCTGGAGATGCTGGAAATTGGAATTCAGCCATATCTAAAACGTTACTGATTTTTCTCCACCTACCTTTCAACAATTCTTTTGTTAGAAATGGCAATGAATTCAAACTGGGAAGCTCACTAGATCAATGATTATAAAAGCTTTCTCTAAAGTAGTATCCACCAGAAGGGCATAATGTTGAAAAAAAAAGGCTGCATAGTAGTGATGTGCAAAATGACTTTCTTGGAGAAAATGTATGTGCCCCAGATTTTGAGAATAAAAGTTTGAAATGTTCTTTCATAGAAGAAAACCTGAAAATATACCGTTCTTGTCTCAAAACAATCCACTCTAGGATTGTTCCATTCTAAGAACTTGAAAATGAAGATATGTATGTTCTAACACTTTTACTTTGTTCTGACACATGTTATTGTTTTAATAAAATGTTTCAATGAAGTTGTTTTGTTAGGTCTGCGTGTAGAATAGGCAGTAAATTTCTCACAGAAAAATTTGTTTTGCTTTGCCACTAATTGTTACGCTGTTAACTTTGCCCATAATATAATCATTCTGAACTGAATCTGGTGAAAAGCTACATCCGGAAAGAAAAAGATACTTCTGTGTTAGATTCTGGGCAATATCCAGAAGTTACACACAAAGCATGTTGCACACAATGCATGTACAGCATAGGCTATAAATTTATACAACATTTATTAGACACCTCTTCTAAATACAGTGGACTTGGGGTGGAATTTCAGCTTACTACTACACACTTACCCTTTTAAGTGTAAGACAACTTAAGAGGAGGTATTATATTACAATAATGTCAAAGTTCTCCAGGGTCATAAGTTCCTCTCTGTCATAACATGGACTTCTAACATAGGATCATACTGGTATAGGAGATGAAGTATAATCAATGGTATAACTTGTATTTTATTTATTTCCAAATATCCTTATTATTCACATGTTGCAACTTGTGAAGAAATATTTAATGTGCCTTTCACAGAAACAAAATCTGGAGAAACCAATTCTTGCAGTGTTAAACAATGTCTCTTTACCTTTGTTTTCCAGAGAGGCGGTATTACAGATCTCGTTACAAACCCAATGGACTAAGCATCTCTTCTCACACAGTGGCAACCCGACAGGTCAGTGAGACCGCCTTGACACCCTTGACTGAACAGGAAGGCGAGGCTTACCTTGAGAAGTGTGGGAGCATCCGCCGGCATACTGTCGCCAATGCTCATTCTGATATCCAGCTGTTAGCCATGGCTTCCATTATGCACTCAGGCATGCTAGCAGAAGAACCAGACAATGGCGACCAATGTCTCCTTTTACAACCCAGTTTGAACCACAGACAGTTTTCTAGTGAGCCCAGCATAGCAGATGGACCAGAAGAACTGGCCACCCAAGATATGGAGGGGACTGCAGAACTGAATTGCACATCTGTCTGTTGAAACAGAGGAAAAGAACACTCCTGCACAGCAGAGGAAGCCGATGTTACTTTTCATGCTGCTTAGATCAAGAATTAGATCTACAGGGCACATCCTGGAGCTGATTGTGTTCTTAGGCTCTAATATTATGAGGGTCCTTTCTGTGGACTCCAAAGGTACAAAGTTGTTTCAGCTGAAACATTCCAATGTTGTCCCAGAGCAATGGTTTCTCAGAGTTTGTTTTTCCAGCTAGGTTTTTGTACCCTCAGCTGCATTCAGTTTTTGTCTTATCCGGAGGGTGAACACAGTAATCCTAGTTTTATTCTGCCTTGCAGATTGTGAAGAGGAACTCCACTGTTAGGGACAGGCAGTTATTTCTTCTCAATTGTAATGTCTTATGAAAAATACAAGGGAAGCCAGTTGTAAAATCTTCAAGGTTGTTGCAGTGGTACATCCCTTGGTAGGGCAATGAATCATGTTCATTATAATATGGTATACACCTAAACTATAAAAATAGGGGCAGTAAAACCTATTCCACTCTCTATCATCAGAGCTAGTCAGAGCAACATATTCTATTCTGGGTGAATAAAATAAAATGAAAGCAGTAGCCTAAAACAAAAAGGGCGTTGGTCCTTACCTGAGAGCCTCCTTTTGCCTGCCTCCTGGGGAGAGCATCAGTGAGAGTTGGCTCTGAGCTGGAGGTGTCTGATCAGATGGCAGAGTAGAAGAAGAAGCCTTTTTACTGGCTGCCTTCTTATGAATTCTCTCTAAGATTTTGTCCTTCTGTTTCTCATATCGTGAACTGGGCTTGGAAGACTTTTTTAATTTTTTTTTTCCTTAACTGAGGTTTGTGCTGTCTTTTTGCTAGCCCTGGCTGCTTCCCTGCCATCAGAAGTAGAAGGCTGGGAGGGGGAATGAGGCACTGAGGCTGCTTCAAGTGTGATACTTGAGCGTCCCCAGGCAACTCAGGAGCCGGTATGGAGTTTTATGCACTAAACACAGCCTCCATGTTGCCAACTGACAGCAACTGACAGGCATTCAAAATGGCGATTCGCGCCTTTTTCAACTGTCATGAAGCGCGCGCTAGACAACAAGGATAAATTCGTCCTGTGGCTCAGTCACACTAGCGGCGCTCCAACACAACTCTTACAATTTCAGTTTTCCTCAAGAACTCCCTCTGGGTCGCTCCGTGGCAGCGTTTTGTATTTATATAGTCATAGCTGCCATGGTTCGCCGCTCAACTGTTTGAGCAGGGAGCCAAATTGTTTCTTCTCGCTTCCGAAGATAGGCGTTTAGAGAGGGAAGCTGAAGCTGACAGCCAGCCCGCTGTTTCAAACCGCGGGAAGCCGTTTATCACCGTTTTGAGTCGCTCTAGTTGCAGCGACAGTCTATACACCCTGACTGGGTTTAGAGGCTCAGACCGCTCCAAAATCACTGTCCCGTGAGGGGCTTTGATACTGGGGTCACTTTCTGGCACTCCCTATCATTTACTCACAACACCTTAATTTTCAATCCACCTTAATTTTCAATCCATATCCGATGGTCTTTTAAGACTGGAGAAAGCAATGATGCAGCCGCCCTCATCGAGGGACTGAGTTTAAAGCTGGGTCTATCTAGCAGGAGCGTGGTTTATCAACGTTATCAGACCCAGTTCTCGCGATGAGTGGATGAAGGTTAATCCAATCTGGATGCTGCCTCCACCACCAGGCAGAACTACCGTAGCTAGCATATTGTTTTGATGTTTTGATTGCAATACTAGCAGGCTACTGCTAGATCAGCAGGTCAGCGGTTCAAATCTCACCGGCTCAGGGTTGACTCAGCCTTCCATCCTTCCGAGGTGGGTAAAATGAGGACCCAGATTGTTGGGGGCAATATGCTGACTCTCTGTAAACCGCTTAGAGAGGCCTGAAAGGCCTATGAAGCGGTATATAAGTCTACTGCTATTGCTATTGCTATAATACATCTCAGGAATTACTCAAATTATTTTCAGTAAACTACCAAAAGCATTTTTAGGGAAAGTATATGACTGTTTGCCAAAAACATAATACCAGTGCTGAGCTGGTAAGCTTGCAATAGTGATTTTGAGCTACTAGCTCAGTGATGGCAAACCTATGCCATGCGTGCCAGAAGAGGCATGCAGAGCCATCTCTCTGGGCCCATGAGCCATCGCCCACTGCTCTTTCGGGTTCCAGCGTGCTGGCCAGTTGGTCTTCTCACATGCGGGAGTGCTGGAAGAGCAGACGCCTGGGGCATGTGCATGCATCTGGAATATGATCATCTGGCTTCTGGCGTGTGCATGCACACTGGCCACCTGGTTTTTCTGCATGCATGCATGCCAGAAATTAGAAAACCAGTTGGTCGGTGTGCATGCATGCGTGGGAAACCGTAAGATCAACTTTACCAGGTGGCTGCTCTTTCGGTTTCCAGCATGCACATGTGCATGCATGCCCGTTTTGGCACTCGGTGCTGAAAAGGTTCACCAACGCTGTACTAGCTTCTATAAAATAGAGGTTGCTGGGTTTAAGATTGAATATTTTGGAAATAACTTTTATTGATATCAACAATGAAAGAAAGGGTGCATTTACATTAGTGGGTAATAGCAGACAACCCCTTTGGCTGGTGGGAATAGTCTTTATTGCAAAAATTCCACAGATATTCCACAACTTCTGTAATGATTGACTGCTGCAAATATCAGGATCAAGTGAGATGAGTTTTTTTGAAACTGGTATAGTGATTTCTGGAAATATTTCCATACATCTTTGGTAGCCAACCCATTCTTTAACAAACACAATAGAAAAAGAATGTTTTAAGTTTTGTGGCTAATTGCCTTCCTCCTGCAGGTCTCTTGATATTGATGGGGCAGTGGCCTTTAGTATCTAGAATTGATAGGTTTTTTTGTTTTGTTTTAAATGCAGTTTCCTAATATAATTTTCATATGTATAATGCTTATTTGGCAGTGGCTCCCTTTTGATGGAAGTCATACATAATGCAAAGAGAAGGCAAATTTCTTCATATAGCTGCAGATAAAGAAGTGCCATTGGGTGTCTTAGCACAATCCAACCATAACTTATTTAGTTGTTTAAATGGTAAAAAATAATTGCATTATGCAAAAAACCCAAAGAGTAGAATAAAATCTGTGCGGAGAATGTGGGATGTGTGCCTTTCCTGCCAGTTCAAAATAAACATTTAACAAATACTACCCAGGTTCTATTGTGTATGCAACTTTCTTGTCACAAAAAGTACAGTTAATTAGGAAAACAAGAACATTTTTCTATGTACACTGACCAACATGCTTGACTCAACATGTTTGGAAGATGCAATGTTAGGAAAAACTCTTCTGCTTGAAAACAATAATTAGTTATTCTAAATATCTGGTGGAAGTAGACGTAAACCAAGCATCACACACTTTTGGGGGACAATGAAATAGAAACCCTGAATTTGGGGGGGACGACGACAATGAAATAGAAACTCTGAATTTAGAGAAGGCATCACAAGGCGGCCATAAAGAGTATGGTTTTTCACAAAAAAATCATTTTTAAGAAAATAAAACACTAGGAAGGAACTTCCAACAATTGCAATTCAGTGCAGAACTAGATCCAAGTTCGAAAACAGTTTTCAGCCCACTGTTCTGATTCAACATCCAAATTATAGGTAGTTTGGCTGAAGAACTGAATGTAAGGGAGATGCCCGGGCACAGCCCTAATGTGAAATCATCTATTTGTCAAAAACATAACAGAATTTAAACTTTACAGATGATCAAAAAATATAGATACCATGACAAAGTATTCTTTTCCATGAAATAAACCGCAGGCAAGACATACATATAAAAAATAAAAATAAAAAATCACCTTCTTAATTAAAAAAGCAAGCAGGAGAGATACATAAAGTCCTTTCAGACATATTCACTGTTAAGAAACAAAGGTTTGTCACCTTTATTTGACATTTTCATGTGAAACAGCTTTGAGGCTTATTCACATATTTTCTCTTTTTTGCATATAACAAAGATGGAAATATAACTGACAAGCAGTTCTCACTTTCTCAGCCTTATTGCCTTAATTCTCTTTAAAATACATCTTGTGGTTCCTTTGAGCTATAACCTCAAACCCAAACAGAAAGCTACCATTTCCACTGCTAAAGCTGCATGTTTAAAGACCTTGGCTCACTTCTGGGAAATTATGATATACAAAAAAAATCAACAGTGGTCGGCAAGACAGCAAGGGAGCAGGGTCCACCAGTAAAATAGCTGTTTAGCATGATCCCCAGTTTGCACCATCCTTAGTAGTGAAGTTCATCACTACGAAGGACTCTCAAATAGAGTTAGGGAATTGAGACCAGGGTGGCTAGGAACTGCAGTCTGGCATTTTCTCCGTGATAACAACATTCCCATCTGATTCCAGAAAGGGGCTGCCTGGCAAAATTGGCAATACCAAGCCACATGGCCAAACACTACACTACTTTATACCAGATATCCCCACTCCCCCCAAAAAACCTCCAAAAGATTTGAGCTAGTATGCAACATAGCTTTTAGTGTCTGGCAGGCATATCAAACTTTCTTCGAGGGCTAAATCAGCATAGTTCTCCATGGTCCGGTGGGGGATGGATGCCTCCTGTAGCACCCTACCGGCCAAAACGGGGCATTGGTGGGGGGGTCTGCATGTGCCCCACCATGCCTTGTTTTCACCCTTCATAGCTTCCAGCAGCTGGGCATTTTTGGCCCCATTTTTGGCCAGCAGAGTTCTGTAGAGGCTATGGAGGGTGAAAACGAGGAACGGGGTGGGGATGTATGCAGCCCGTTTTAGCTGCCAGAGGTGCCACGGGCCAATCCTTTGATATTTCCAGGCTGGCCCTGCAGGCCAGATTTAAACACCCCACGGGTTAGATCCGGCCTGCAGGCTTTGAGTCTGGTCTGTGAAGATGGCTTTTACCTTTACCAAAAGTGAATAAATATGGAAATAATGATTGTATCTGAAGACATAACCTTGGGGTAAGTATTCCGCATTCAGCATTCAGAAAGGTTCATTTTCCCCTCTTCTAAAGACTCTTCAATCACACACTCCACCATTGCTGAAAGTCTGCTGACAATTGTCATTTTTGATTTAGTCTAATCCCCAGTTAAGATTTCTTTAATAATATAATTTTATTAAACTTTATAAAATACCAATGAAAATAAAAATTGTGGAGAAAGGGGAGAAAAGTATAGGATAAAGAGGAATTCCAATTTTTAAAAAGTCCTTTGACCATTAGAGTTACGTTCAATTCCCAGAACCTAAATGCCTGACGTATAATGCAGAAGCTTTGCCTGCTTTCAGTGAAACTGTTTGTGCTTTTGTTTTCTAAATTAAGTGCTGTGGCTTTTTAAAATGCAGATATTTTCTAAAAAAAAAGCTGTTGGCTCTATTGGTTTTTATTATAGGTGGGGTTTTTGTATGTCTTTGAGTCAATCTTGGAAATTACAGGAACAAGTCCCAGCAATTTTTTTTGGTATGATTTTAGAGGTCTTTGCGTCCTTCCTAGAAATGAGACAGGATCACTAGCTCAAGGTCAACACCAGATTGAAGGCAGGATTAGAATTCAGCCTTCAGCTAAAAGAGCCAAGGGTTTTTTGCTTTCTAGCCTGGTGCTTTAACCAGTACACAACCAGACTGGCTCTTAACGGTCGTTAATCAATTGCTATATAAAAATATCTTGGCTTTACAAAGAGCACTAGAGACTATTCAGGGAAAAATAGCAGGTAATATAGTTTAATTGCTAATTCAACTTACTGAAATAAGTTGAGGAGCCTACATTGGCAGAAGGGCCCACCATAGGCATTTGTGTTCTAAACTGGCAGAATCGTTAATACCAAAGAAGAAGTATATTCTCAGCTAGGAAACAGACTAGGGACATTTAATGGACATATCTGGAGATTTTTCTTTCTTTTTAAATTGTGTTGGGTAGTGTCACAAAATTATTGTGCCAGGCAAAAAGTGTAGCCATTGATCAAATGGCTGTTGTGCCTAGTCACGAAATATTAATTTTTCATGTGGCAAATAGGTAAGAAAAAATAGGTTCCCCAAAAGCATTAATCGGAGACCGTGTTCAAGTTCCAAAGTAGAAAGTACAACCATGAATTAACAATTTTCTTGCTCTACTTCACCGAGGGCAAAGAGGTGGCATTAGGGTTAGGGTAATGTAATTATATAATAAGTTATGTAATTTGGCCTAGAAATGAACGACCATATTTTTCGGAGTATAAGATGCACCTTTTTTCCTCAAAAAAGAGGCTGAAAATCTGGGTGCGTCTTATACACTGAATGCAGCATTTTTGCCTCCTGAAGCCCCACCCCTTCACCAAAATGATCATGCATACCCTTATGGAGGCTTTCTGAGAGCTCTTGGGGGCTGGGGAGGGCAGAAATGAGCAACAAACGGGCAGATTTTTTGCCCCCCATCCCCGTGCAGCACTCTATAAGCCTGCATAAGGCTATGCATGCAATTTTTTTTGACAAAAAACGGGCTGTTATTTGCTTGTTTTTTGCCTCTCCCATGCCCCCAGGAGCACTCTGCAAGGCTATTTATGCCTTTTTGGGGGGGAAAATGGGGCTGTTTTCGCACAAAAATGGGGCGTTTTTGGGTGGTTTGCAGAATGCAAAAACTTTTTTCCTTTTGGAAAGCTCTTTAACTGATTGATTAACTTACATTGATCTAGTGCTATGCCAGCAGAAACAAAGTCTTAGGTGCTGTAGATTGTCAGTGATTTCCTTCTCCAGCACATGGATAAATAACTTGGAAACATCTACCTACCTATCTACTCTCTCTCTCCCTATCTACTGTATTTCTCTCTAT